AAGTAACTAAGAATTAATTGGGTTAATATCCAAATTGATATCGATATCTCCTATCACTTGCCTTCGATACCCATTGTAAGCTCTAGCCATCATGCTACTTAGGACGTATATAAGATGTATCCATTGGCAATCGGTCTAAGATCGGTTTGGGTAAGACATTCAAAGTAGACCCATTATTGATTAAAACTTTAGCAATCATGTATTTTTGCTCTTGATCATGAAGTGTAAAGGCTTATTATGGCCAACGTCTTTAGGACCTAACCGATCCTTAGAGAAAGACGGATAATTGATAGCTTGAATTCTACCTATCAAGTTTTTCATGACATCGGCAGTAACCTCTTAAGGGACGGATGCTTTATTTAAAACCTTTTGTGATATTTTTTGATGCTATTTTGAGCTCATGATTAATGATAGTAAGAAGATCTTAGCGAGTGTTTTTTTAGTTTGTCCACTATACTCATGATTTTGACTCTTTGAGAGAGGACATGGCTCAACTAAAGCCATTTTCCTTTAGTTTGTTGTCATTTTGAGTATCCTGATGAAGTCTTTCCATCAACTATCCTTTTCTACAGTGATAAACCCTCTCGTTTTCCAAACGATATTTGCTTCTCTCAAAAGTTTCTTAGAAACTTTCAAGTCCTCATAATATTCGACTAAACTCATGGTTCTCGAAATAAACCACTCAAAACCCAACTATCTTAGGAACATATTAGGGAAACAACGAAAATGAAAGATAATCAAGCTGAGTTAGGATGGTTAGCCATATAATGACTCGCTCAAATGTTGACAAACTCGGGTGTTCCTAAAATAGTGATTATAGTATGGTGGACCACTTGAAGAAAACACTCGCTAAGATCTTCCTACCATCATTAATCATAAGTTCGGAATCACATCGAAAAATATTACAAAAGGTTTTGAATAAAGCATATGCCCTTTAAGAGGTTATTGCTGATGCCATGAAAAACTTGATAGGTATACTTCAAGCTACCAACTATCCGTTTTTCTCCGAGGATGAGTCGGGTCCTAAAGACACCGGCCATAATAAGCCCCTACACATCACGATCAAGTACAAAGAACATATGGTCATTAAAGCTCGATCAATAATGAGTCTAATTTGAACGTCCTACCTAAGTCGATCTTAGACCGATTGCCAATGGATGCATCTTACATGCGTCCTAGCAATATGATGGCTAGAGCTTATAATGGGTCTCCAAGGTAAGTGATAGGAGACATCGATATCAACCTGGATAATAGACCCAATCAATTCTTAATTACTCTATAAGTCATCGATATTCGGTCATCATATAGTATGTTTTTGAAAAGATCGTGAATTCACTCAATCGAGTTATGATGTCATCATTACATCAAAGATTTAAATACATAGTCAATGGTAAATTAGTCAACTTTGATAGTATAAAAGATACCGCCTCGATCAAGAATGTGTTTATGCTTTACATTGAGGTCGAAAGAAGTCAATATGAAAATCGCATGCGTTTGAGATAGTGAATGCCGAATTGGTGTTTGAGAATACATTTCGAGAAGGCCAAAAGTGTCTATGGTATCAAAGATAGTAGCAAAATACTTGATGAAGTATGAATTCCTACTAAACTATGATCTCAATGGTGGAATGTTGAGAGTGATGAGTGCTTTGAGGGGGCCAATTCATATCACCATTTTGAGCTGGGTTTCAAGCCCGCTAGAAAGGATTATTTGAGGATTGTTGAGCGAAGAAAGAAAAATGATTGGCTAGAATCGAGGGTCGAGAACCCGTTAAATAGAGGATTATGATTCCTCACATTCGAGCTACCTTCCTTTACCTTGTCTTTATCATCAACCATAATAAGAAGATAGTGAACTTAAGGGCGTAAATGGTGGATATGTCCATCAATCACCTTGAGGAATAGCTGAAGGTGGAAGAAATTATAGTCTTGAGTCAATAGTGGTCATTTCTTAAGCTGAGATGCTATTGCAATCGACGATCAATATCCTAGAGATATGTTTCCTATTGACTTGATGATCAAAGAAGGAGCACGGGTGAGTGGCTCAATAATTAGGAGAAAAAGATTCTACCTACCTATACTATTGAGTAATTTATTGTTTTTTTTTGTGTATATTGATCTCTCGGTTATGTAGCTCAAGATACCAAAGATGACTTATATGGAACATTTATTCATAATATTAATAGAAGACCATGGATTTTCTTAAACATTGTGCTCATTTCTCTTCCATTCCTTTTATTTTCACATTTTCCTACTTTTAGGGATATAAAAAATAAATATCTTCTAAAATTCTAAAATAATTATATCGAACATGTTTGGTCTAAATTTGATAAGAATTTGATTGTCATGAATGAAGAAGAATTTGAGGATGAAGATGTGAATGAATTTACCAAGCTAGGAGAGCTATCCGAACGGTTCATAAAACCTTATCAAGAGGAGTTAGAAAATATAAATATGGGGACTCGAAGAAAATAAGAAAGAACTGTAAATCAAAATTATGTAGGTACCAACCTACAAGTAATGGGCCTCGCGGAATAATCCTATCAAGATCAAGGAATCACCTACCATCGCCATACAACGCAATGAACCATGCTTATCACTAGAAAGAAAGGCATAATATCAACAATTGTAAGGAGTTCCACAAGGAAGTGGGAACAATGCTGATTTTGAGAACTTTACGGGTTGAAAAGAGTCGAGAGAGATCGATAATGGGAATGATGTTGCCGTCACAAGATGATTACTCAAAGGTATGAAGGTACCAGCCTACAAATAATGGGCCTTCTAAAATAATCTCGTCAAGATTAAAGAATCACCTACTACCGCCATACAACGCAGGTGAACCATGTTTATCCAATAATAAACACATCGTTCAATGCAAGTGTTGTTTCGATTAAGGCTAGAGGATTGAAATTAGGTTTAATTGAGGTTGATGGGAGTTTCAATTTAGGATTTAAATTCCAAATTGAAATTGAATTAGCCTAGAACGGAACTAAGGTTCCTAGGTTCCTAAATTAACAAAACAAATTAAGGGTTTTTGAAGAAAAGGACTCTACAACGTTTAAGATCACTTAATCTCAAGAAAAAATCAACCAATTAAGGCTAATTGAGCAAAAATTGAAAAAAATTAAGGTTTAAGGTTCATCCACTTTTCATGAAATTTTCGAACAAAGGAAAGGAAATTAGGTTTGGTTCGGTGGAGAATCAACAAGGATAAAGTGAATAAGATTTTGTACAAGAGGATTGAAGGGAAAACGAACCAAAAGAGAAACTCTCTAGCTCATTTTGGGACAAAGAAATCAAAATAAAGGAAAGACAAGAAGGAGGAGAACGACGAAAAATTCAAGAAAAGGAAGGGAAGAAAAGAAAAAAAAAAGGAAAACGAGAGGAGGAAGAGAGAGAGAGAGAGAGAGAGAGAGAAAAAGAAACAAAAAAAACAAAAGAATGAGTTTGATCCAAAAAAGAAAAACAAAGTTTTGTTTATGTTTTTGGGTTAGGCTAAGTCCAACTTGTGTGTGATGTGCTAGATCGATCACGACTCGGTTCAAAAAAAAAAAAAAAAAGTGAAAATAGGGCTAGACCGATTCTAATCCAACCCGAAAAAGAAAAAAGAAACGAAAATTGGGCTAGATTAGAGAAAAAAATAAAAGATTAAAAAAAAGCCTTAGTTTTACTTCATTTAATTTTGAATTAAAATTTTTATATGTTTTTATTTTATGTTTAATTGTTATTTCAATGTTTGAATTTTCTTTACTTTATTTAATTAATATAATTATGGATTTTTATTTGTAATAATTAGATTAAATAATCAATAGATGAATTATTATCAAATCTCCTATTTTTTAAGGACTAAAGACGATTCCCAATTTATATAAAAAAACCAACAAAAAAAATAAAAATGATAAAAAAGGCATATTAATTAATTTTAATCTTAGGATTTTGTCTCATAATTAGTTTAGATAACCAAATGGTAGATGAATTGTCAAGTCTTCTAATTTTTAAAAACAAATAACGATGCTTTATCGATAAATAAAAAAATAAAAAAGTAAAAATCATAAAACATTTAACAAAATCTCATATATGATAGAGACTGTTGTTAGCTAAAGAAATTCATTTTTAGTAATTAGGTCGTTTTTTGACACACTCGGTTATGTTAAAACTTAAAGTGAATTCAATGTTTCAATCGATATGTCTCCTAATGAAGAAGTTTGACGATTGTTTCAATATGATACCGCGCTAAAAAAAAATTAATTTGATTTGAAAAATTAGAATTTTAAATCAGAAAATAATTTGACACAAATAAAACACTTTAGGAGATGAATTTAAGACTAAACCAAACATAATACTTTTCTTCGAAAATGACACTTTTAGGTGATTAAAAATCTTTTCAAAAACATAACCAACTCCTTACTTTATAATTTTTGAACCATGCCTATTTTATGTTCCTAGTTCCTTCAATGTTGAATGACAACTCGCAAACTTGTAAATAATTCTATAAATAAAATCTAATCTTAAATTAGATATTCTAGAAGTTCCGTCCAACGTCGGATAATGACAAATGGTATACATAAATTAGTTTTCAGATTAAGTTCCCTACTTATCAAAAAGGGAAAAAAAATAGTTATCTTATAAATAAGATTCACGAGGATTCTATTTATCACGTTTTATTGAACTCAATGATTATTACAAAATAGGTATGGTCTCTTCTGAGGTCTAATTTGTTAAATCCAACGAATTAGGATTGCTTTGTTGCAAGTAATCTCCTCCTTATAAAAGGAGAGAGATACCACTCAATATTCTAGATGTTAGGGCAGGAGTATTATGATTTTTTTTTTTTTCATTATTCCCTATTGCTTTGTTTTATTCCTTTTTAGCGACTTTCATCCAATAAAAAGAAACCATTGCACACAATAGAAGAAAAGCAGGGGCAGTTCTATGTACCAATAAAAGAATCACTGAACCATGGGTTATAACTAAGATGTACAACATACGATAAAGCATCTCTCATGTCTTGGCTTCAGATTTCCCCATTTGTATGACATGATACCGAGCAGTCTCCACTGGGTCTTCCACCAAAATTCTACCTGTTACAAAATATATATATCATCTAATCACAGCATTTGATATTAGTATGGCAGAGAAAAGAAACACTACATTAATCATTTTCACAAATAGGACTATTAAGAAGTCAAATTCCAATAAGATCATAATAGATTTAGATCAATTTTATTTAATAAAATGAATCGAATCGAATCTTATGAATTTGAATTGGATTTCGAAAATAAAAATCCGAATCGAATTAGGAGCTGTATCAAATTTATCACTTGATTTTTATAAAAAATTTATGCTAACATTTAATATATTACTTGAATATAAAATATATTTTAACTACTACAAGTAATAAAATATATTAAAATAATATTCATCTATTAATTTTACAAAAAATTCAAAATACCACACAATTCAAAAGCACAAAATCAAATAATCTTAATAAAAATTTATCTTGAACTAAGTTTAAAGTACAATAAAAAAAATCTATTAATATTATCATATATAATTAGGTAATATATAAAGAGTGGAAATGTAATGAGTTAAATAGATAAAATATCATAGTTTTTTATGTTTTGATTTGAAAACCAACCACTTGTAGCAGTTATTTTCTATACAATCTCTAGAAGTAAAAATGTACAATTATCATCAATAAATCTACCTCATATATGAGGTGAGTTGACATGGACCGAGTTTAAACATATAAATCATAACCTTATCTCTTAATTTTAATTTGCCGCAAAAATCACATGAATTAAACCTTTGTGCATAAAATGTACCTAAAATACTCGAGTATGTTCAAATAAAAAAAAATCTTTTCTTTTCTTTTTTTGTTTTTTTTTTAAAAAAAACAATTCCAATTGCACCAATCTTCTCTAAATTACCATTTTTTTTTACTCAACCTTCTTTTTCTATTCTCTTCAATTTTACACTCATTTTTTTCTCTTTTTCTTACTCCTTTTTTCGAGAAAAAAATAGAATGATAACAAATATAATAATGTTAATTTTTGAATAGATATATAAATCGATTTATCACAAAATTGAATTAAGAAAATAAAAAAATGTATTTTTTTTAAAATACAATCGTCATTGTAAAAAGATATACATTATTTGAATTTTTTAATAAATAAGTTATAAATTTCAACCTAATTTCATATTTAAAATTTTTAAAATATTATATTTATTATAAAAATATTATTTTCAATTTCGAGTCAAAATAGATCCGAATTTGATCCATTTAATAAATGAATTAACAAATTCAGATTATAATCAAACTCGGATAAAACAAATTATTTACTAGATCCATTTAATTACATCATATTCAGATTAAGATTCAATCCATTTACAACACTACCCACAAAAAAGCAAACATTGCTAAAATCAAATGATATTGGCAACATTCCGAATTTAGTGACTTCACATAATTGGAGCACTTGGTAAAATGGAAGTATTTAAGAAAAGCCAGCTAAGAGAATTGGGCATAAATTTTGGGATGAAAATCACCTTATACCCTTATAATATCCAATATTGTTATTTTAACCTCTCTACACATGGTATAAACAAACCTTATACTACTCAAAACTGAAACAAACCAACTCTTAACCACATGTCATCATATGATTAGTACAACATTGGATGAAAATGCTATTTTGTTACAGCTTTAAGTAATACAAGGCTTGTTTTATGCCACACTTGGATAAAAAAGTTACCAATAAATTTTGATAGAAAATTTATAGACAAACTGCAAAATAATATTGACTAAAGAAAAAAATTTGATTCACTTCCACTGAAACTAGATCACAATGAACCAAAAAAAAAAAAAAGGAGTATATGCTCCTTCTACATCTTGTAGCAAATAATGTTGTCATACATCCAAGTCATGATATGATGACAAAATTGGCGGGAACAGGTACAGAAAACTTCAAACGCAAGATCACTATTTAAGATGGAATTACACATACATTTTTATTTCATCAGCTTATCATAAAAAATAAAAATAAAAAGGAAGAATTTCAGACAAATTGATCCAGAAAAAAAATAATACAATTACAAGTTTGACTAAAAATAGAAGTATACGTAACTACAAATCTCGTGGAAGATGAGAAGCCAATGAATTGGAATCGAGTGTTGTTGACTTGAGAAGGACATTCTGAACTGCCCAAATTGGAACAAAATCCATAGGATGGAGACATAAGGATTGGTCAAAGATGTCCTATATATTCAACATAAAAAAGCATGGTTTACAATCAATTTAAGATTAAAAAGAAATAAAATCTGTTCACCTTTTTACCCTTCTTTCCCTTTCTACAACAATGTAAAATCCAACTCCGAAACTTATAGGTAAAGATCACATGCCAACCTACAAAGAATATCAATTCCCATTTTACGCCGAGCACTGCTTAGAGTTGACATAACTTTTTAACATTTGACAAACCATTCTGCGGCCTGGATAGATTGTATTAGGTTATAAAGAAAATTAGTTCACCTACAAAACCATTAAGGATGTCCTAACAGTTAATCAAGTCGTAAGAAGAAAACATTTCTTTTCTCTGTTTTTTAATATATCACACATAGACGTAATGCCCAAGTTTAAGGTTCCACCCAAGAATTTGAAAATAAATAGTGCACAGCACCCAATTTACAAAAGTTTGTATATTCACCCCAAAAATCGTCAGTTAAGTTATGGTGGAAAAAGTTTCAATGCATGCACACTAAAAACAATGGAATTAACAGAAAAAATCTTTTGTAGATGTACCTGATGCTACTCCATTTTCTTTACGTTGACATATCTAAGAACTCATTTATTTGCTTGCAATTAAGTGTCACCCAAAAAATACTTCGAGGAGAGCACCTTTTCTAAAGCCTCTTAACAATTTCTTCATTCACACGTTCATAATAAGTCATTCTCCGGATGCATTTTACAGCTTCTTCAAATTTACGGCCTCGGAATGCATTTGCAAAGGAATTAGACCAATTTTGCAATTTCTCTTGCATCTGCATAAACAATTTGAAATCTATAAATATAACACAATGGGCACACTTAAAGGGATATTAGGTGCTCATTACCCAGGTTAAAACCATTGAACTAACCATGTTTACATATTTCGTCAAACAGTCCAAACACACAGGAAGATTCTAAAAACTTGACCAAGATATAGACATACTTTGGGAAATTACAGCAAAATGCAGCCAGTCAGCCTCATCTCATTAAATGAAAAGAACTATTTTGAATTTGTGATGCAACTTGTGCACCATGTTCCAATTTCTCATGACATTTTTCAAAGAAGAAGTCATACCAAAGACTTAATCTCATTTAAAGCCTGAGAGTCAGGTGCCTCTTCAACTGCTTCCCTGATTTCCATAATCTGCAGTATCATAAATTAGAGTAATAAAAGATCCAAATGAAAAACAGAGACCGTCAGCTTAGGAGCTTGTGTGCAGTAATCTACCCAAGAAATCTAAGCTAGAAATGAAATACAGAACAAAAACAAGAAGCTCTTATAAATTACCTCAGCTAGCAGCTCTGGTTCTGACACTGTTTCTTCTTCGTTAATATTTACACCTTCAAGTTTCAGCTATACGAGAGAAAATATTTAATTTTAAGAATGTTTAGGAACAGGAAAACTTATACAATGAAATACATGGAGGAGGAAAAAGAGGCATTAATGGATTGCATAATGAAGAAATATAATCCTGAATCCCTAAGAATCAGTGTCAAAAAACTTCGACAACACCAAACTAATAACACATTTTAAACATGTCCGTGTTATTTTTCTTGTGTATTAGTATGATATGTTTAGCACATGCTTCCTCTGGCCCTAAGGCTTCTGTTACCCATCTACTATTTTATACCAAAATAACCAAAAAAATCTAAAGATATCTAATTAACAAAGTCCTTGATTTATCCTAAGACATTTAATCGATCAAATGCACCACGAACTAGTGTATCATAAACTCTAGAAAAAATTATACCACCAAGCATGAAAATTTAAGCACTCCAAGTGGCACAAACAAGGACTTATTGATAAGTTTCTTAAATATTCAACTGGCATAAATCAGTGAGAAAATCAACATTAGTTAAAACTTGAAACCGTTTACACTATTATTACCAAAAGATTTCTTTCAAAAAGCCATAAATGAAGGTAAAATAGCACAAAGACAAATGCTTCAATGTATACTAAGATGACATCTAAATGTAAAATGCTTACAATGTATATTGCCCTTGACAGGGCATTGCTTAGCGTCCGGTACGCATCAATCACCCTAGCAGATTGTTCTGCAGCAAACTCTCTCTCTTTCTGGAAAAGAAAAGGCAAATCAATAATCGAAACAGGAAAAAAAAAAAAAAAAAAGATTCTAACTTCTATTAAAAAAAAAAAATCAGACTAACCTCAGATTTTGAATGAACTAAATCAGGATGCAATTTCTTCTGCCAATCTTTATACTTGCCATCCAAATTATTATCCTCGATTCCATACTTCTTTTCCCTGTGATGTTAAAACCACTCAAAATAATCAAACTTTGCGAAGTAAACAACAAAACCTACAAAAACCCAAATCCAAAATTAACTTTAAAAGCAGAAAAGACTACAAAAAAAAGTGAGTACTTTACAGGCCAAATATTTGGAAGTAATCAACAGAGTGATCAACAGGCTGGATAGTTCTACAAGACTCGCAAACCAAAAACAGGGCGTTTTGAGGCTCCGCACTACAGTTCCAGCATCTGGGGTTGATGCTCTCAGAAGATTGGGAGGAGGAGAAATTTTTGACGGAAAAATTGAGGGGGTTCCCGAGAAACTGGGATGAAAAGCCACTTGAAATGTGGACTTTAATGTCAAAGGAAAAGAAAGGAAAGGAAGAGTACGGTTGTGAATCAGAGAGACAGTGTTGGTTGTGAGGGAAGTGACACGTCGTTGAAGAGAAGGGCCTGGTGTGAAGAAGTTCTGAGAGAGGACTCCATAGCTTGTTCTTTGCTTTCAACATTTTTTTTTGTTTTGGCAGCGTTCTGTTTTGTGATTTGAATCGGCAAGTACTGAAGGGTTTGTTCTTTATTAGGGCTTTGGCCCATATAAATAAAAATAAATTCCGCATACTGATAAGTAGGTGGATTTGCTAATTTCACCGCGCCATATGAAACGGTTAAATTACCAACCTCAACGGAGAGCAGAAACCGGACAGTGGACACACAAGTCGTTGCTTGCTTCCCTTTTTTCTTTTTTACCTTCTGTTATGAAAGAACATATTAAGTGCTTTTGTTTACATAATTATTCTGTTAAAAAAAATGAAAATTTGATCGAAATCATGGCAATTTGAAATCATGAAAGGAAAACATAAATTTCATAATAGGAGCTAGGGATCAGGGAATCCATGTGGAAGTATATGTTTGGCTCTTTTCTTGATTATGACAAGAAAGAGGTAAAAAAGAACGCCATTACACATTTATAAATTATGATCCGGCAATTAACTGGCAAAGTCAACCTATCAATTACCTTGTTGGTTAACATTTTAGTTTTAATAGTAAAATTATTCAACTGGCATACATTTTAGTTTTAATAGTAAAATTATTCACAGTTTCTCAATTTTGCTTACAAAATAACATATCAATTGAATTTTTTGCTTCTTTCTTTCTTATGAAGGATCTAACTATTGGGGGCATTCTTGATATGCGGTGAGAAAAATAGACACGTGTATGAGTGGTCGAAGTCGCAAATTCCATCGCTTGGTTCTCAACTACTAGCACATATAGCTACTTTTCCTATAACCGTCTCTTTTTGGCATAACCATCTTGGTCACCCATCATCTCAAATTCTCTACAAAATCATTACAGCTCATCAATTACCTCTCTCTAAATCCAGTTCTACTCCCTCTCATTAAAATTCTTGTTTTTGCAATAAAAGTCATAAACTTTCTTTTGGTATTTTATCTTTACATTGTTCCAAACCTTTGAAAATCCTTTTTGTGGATGTTTGGGGTCCTACCCCTGTTACTGCTTTCAATAATAATTGTTACTATGTTATTTTTGTAGATTACTTCACAAAGTACACTTGGTTTTATCCTCTTAAACAAAAACTTAAGGTTGCATCTGTCTTTAATCAATTTAAATGTTTAGTTGAACGTTAATTCACTACTACAATTAAATTGTTTACACAAATGGATGTGGTGAAGCTGCTAGTATTGGTCATCTTTTATCTCATACGAGTATTTAACATTTTATCTATCCTTGTTATACACTTGAACATGTAGGCACCGTTGAGCAAAAACATCGATATATTATCGAAACAGACACTTACCCTCTTGTACGATGCTTCGTTCCTCTCAAATACCGCTCCTTAGCATTTCGGACTAGTGTCTATCTCATTAATAGATTGCCATCCCTTACAAATAATAACCAATCTCCTTTCCATAAATTATTTAGAATAACACCCAACTATTCTAACCGAAAGACATTTAGATGCTTGTGTTATCTTTGGCTACATCCTTACACCCCCCATAAGTTAGAATCTCAATCTCGACCACGTGTTTTTGTTGGTTATTCTACATCCTATCATTCTTATCTTTGTCTTGATCCTAATACTCATAAAATTTTTATTTCTCATAATGTTCGCTTTTTAGAACACAACCTCCCATTTCACTCTACCTCTTCTACTCCACCCGTAATTTTTCCAAACTTTCAAGATTGGATTTGCAAATCATCTAATAAAAGTATCTCACATACACTTGTTAACCATTCCATTAATAAAGCCATCGTCCTTTTACCCATCTCTCTTTCTTCCAATACTCCACCTCCGGTTGCTAGGTATGACTCACCAAATTCGATCTCCTCCTCCACTACCCCTTGTTCTAACTCTCGCACCAATGATGCTCTCTCGTCCCTCGTAGGTAAATCCCTCATCTTCTTCTTTAGCCTCTTCTTCTTCCTTAAAACCTTTGCCTACACAACATCCTTATAATACTAAGTTAAGAAATAATATCATTAAGCCCAAACAAATTCTTAATCTCAATACTACTACTACTCCCTCTTATATTGAACATTTCACTAATAATCAAGCCCGAAAACGTCCTTCTGGCGTAAAGCCGTGAGTGATGAGTTCAATGCTCTTTTGGCCAACAACACCTGGACACATTTGTGCTAATGAGAATTGCTTCATTATCAAACGTATGGTGAATCATTCAATTTTTTTAGGAGATTTTATAAACCTTTGTAATGTGACGGTGGCTTAGTTAATTAGGAAATTTTGACTAGATTACTAGGAAAGTATTTGTTAGGAGTTAGGAGATGTGGTTGTAATTAGGGGTGTTCACTATTCGGTTAAAATCGAAATACCGAACCGAATTAACAATTTTGGTTCAGCTTTTTTTTCAAATTCGGTTTCCACCGAAAACCGAATTAGTTTTTTTAAAAAAAACACATACCCAAACTCTTTTTTTTTTTTTTTAATCAAAGAGGCACCTATGGGTTTAACTAAAAGAACAATAGCTTTAATGATTTTTTTCTACTTCAAATAGAAATATTTTTCATTAATTATTTATTGAAATAAAAAATAATTGATTATATTATATTGACTCACAAAAAAATAAAAAAAAAGACATGATAAAGAAATTCTTTATAAAAACACAAATTTATGTATGGGTGAATCCTAAAACCTCATGAAAAAAAAATTGTCTCCTTGTATTAAAATTGGCACAAACATAAATTAAAAATTAGATTTTTCATATTATATATTCAACAATAAATTATGCACAAAATAAATAGATTAAAAAAAAGAATATAAAAAATTAATAAAAAACCAATTATAGCGTGATTGAAAAAAAATGAAAAGCCCAACTAATTTAGTTTATAATATAAATAGAAACATATTTATTATAGAAAAATAATAATAAGCATACATAATTTTCTTATAAAATCAAAAGTAAAATATGCAATATTTGATTATGCAAGTTTGATATTTTTTAAAAGCAAAATAATTCAATTTTTAGAAAAAAAATGCAAAAAAAAAAAAAGGTTTTTAACCGAAAATCAAAAAACGAACCGAAAAAATTTGGTTTTTAACCAAAAAACCGAACATCAATTTGGTTCAGTTTTGGTTTTTGTTTTAGTCAATTTGGTTAATCAAAAATCAAAAAAAAAAACACCGAAACCGAACCGAAAAACCGAATGATCACCCCTAATTGTAATAGTATTTGTATCGAGCTTGGTCTAGGATCTTGAATTCCAATGATTGTGACAATGAGTTAATCCTACTATTTTTGATGTATTGGCTCTTTATAGGATATTTTGAATAATGTTAAATATTAAAAAATATTATGAAAAATTAAAAATCCTATGAATAAAAAGATCGAGATCTTAAAGTGAGATTTGTTGAAAATAATAATAATAATAATAAAGATTATTCTAATAATAGTAAAAAAGTTGGAGATAAAAGGATAAAAAAAGAGAATACAAGTGATAACAACTCTCTCACTTTTTACAAACTCTACTCCATAAACTAATGAATAATCAAGTTTATTTATAGGCTTATTGACTAGAAAGAGAATTAAAAAGAACTATGAATAATAAAAAATGCATATTTAGTTTAATCAAATGCACCATCTTTTTAATTTTCATATTGAATGATGAATTGAATCACATTAATTATTATGAGTAGTAATAATATGAATGAAAATGGACGTTCATATAGACATTTATTATTTTATAATATTTTTTCTTAAATGTTCATTGTATAAGAAATATATCTCATTAAAATCTTACTAGGAAAAAACCAATGAAAAAAAAATCCTAATGAAGAAAGAAAAAAGAGTATAATATTTTTTATACATTAATTCTCATGATGGGCTCTCTTTGTTGAAATATCGTTTAAGATCTTTAAGACAACGCATCCCAATCTTGTGAATTATTTTCATAAATGTTATGACGAGATAATGCTTTAGTAAATAAGTATGTCGGATTGTCACTTAATCAAATTTTTTGAACATTAATACCACAATTAGGTTGAAGATCATGTTTGAAAAATAAGTTTATTGATATATATTTTATTCCGTCACCTTTGATATATCTTTTTTTAATCGAATTATGCAAGCGGTATTATCTTCATATAATATTGTTGAAACTTCTTTACTAGTAGATAAATCATATGTTTTTTAGATATCACGGGTCATTGAACTTAACCAAATATATTTTTGACTTGTCTCATAAATCGCTAGTATTTCTACATTGTTTGAAGATATAACGGTTATAGTTTATTTCATAAAACGTCATGATATAATTATATCATTATGTGTAAATATATAATCAGTTTGTGGTCAAGCTTTTGTATGGATTGAATAAATAACCTACATCTATATAGATAATTAATCTTCACTTTGATTTATTAGAGTAAAATAAGCTCATATCAATTTTTTTCGAAGGTAATATAAGTATATATTTAATTTTATTCCAATTTCTTCGTTGGAGCAGTAACTATGTCTTATTAATAAATTTATAGAAAATATTATATTAGGTCGGATATTTTTAGCAAGATACATCAATAAAATAATTACACTAAGGTATGGTACTTTAGGATCAAGAAGTTCTTCGTTGTCTTTTCGATATGAGAAAATATCATTTTGGATATCAAGTGAATGAGCTACCATTAGACTAGTCAATAGATGAGTCTTATCCATATAGAATCATTTTAGTAACTTTTCAATATAAGTTGATTGATGAATAAAAATCACATCCTCTAAGTGTTCAAAATGAAACCAAAGATAAAATTTTATTCTTCCAAAGTCTTTCATGTTAAATTCTTTTTTTAGATAACTTATGGCACTTAAAATTTTTTAGAAGTTTTAATAAAATTTAAATCATCAACATATACAATAATTATCACAAACCCCTCCCCGAATTTTATTATATCCTTATTTCAACACATACTCATTAAGATGATTATACCACATACGCTCAAATTGTTTTAATTTATATAGAGATCTTAGTAATTTAATTGATTAATTTCCTATAAATATAATTTACATGCTTCAAGTATCTTAAGTCTTTTTGAAACTTTTATATAGATATCATTATCGAGTGAACCATATAAATAAATTGTAATCACATCCATTAAATATATGAAGTTATTCATGTGTTGTCGAGCTAACGAGATAATAAAATATAATTGCATCAATCACAAGAGAATCTCTATTCTCATAATCAATGTCGGTATTTGTGAAAACTCTTGTGCTATAATTCTCAATTTATATCTCATAATTTCATCATTTTTATTTTATTTTTGTATAAATATCCGTTTGTATCCTATCAACTTGACATCTTTAAATGTTTTGACTATGGATTTAAACATTGCTCGTTTTGTAAGAGAATTTAATTTTACATGGATTGCATCTTTCTATTTATGCCAACTATCTCTATATCGACATTCTTAAATAGATATGGACTTGAGATCCTTATTTAAAATATCAATTGCAATATTATATATAAAAATATTATCAATAAATATTTTTTTTGGTACTATTTTCTTCTTATATTAATATAATTTATCGAAGTTTCTTAATTTACCTCAAGTATTTGAAATTCTTCTAAAAGCCTATTATTAACATCTTCAAGTGTTTTGACTATGGATTCAAAAACTACTCATTTTGTAAGAGAATTTAATTTTGCATGGATTGCATCTTTCTATTTATGCCAATTATCTCTATATCGACATTCTTAAATAGATATGGACTTGGGATCCTTATTTAAAATATCAATTGCAATATTATATATAAAAATATTATCAATAAATATTTTTTTTGGTACTATTTTCTTCTTATATTAATATAATTTATCGAAGTTTCTTAATTTACCTCAAGTATTTAAAATTCTTCTAAAAGCCTATTATTAACATCTTCAAGTGTTTTGACTATGGATTCAAAAACTGCTCGTTTTATAAGAGAATTTAATTTTACATGGATTGCATCTTTCTATTTATGCCAATTATCTCTATATCGATATTCTTAAGTAGATATGGACTTGGGATCCTTATTTAAAATATCAATTACAATATTATATATAAAAATATTATCAATTAATATTTTTTTCGATCGTATTTTCTTCTTATATTAATATAATTTATCGATGTTTCTTAATTTACCTCAAGTATTTGAAATTTTTCTAAAAGCCTATTATTAAAAATATATTGGGCTGTTAATATCTACTTCCATTTTCATTGGTTATTTTTCTTTTTTTATTTCGATGATTTTTTTTTTAGAATTGATCGGTCTTTCTTGCTTCAAGCGTGCTTTAGATTTATTTGCTATATAACTAATAGGTTGTTTTACTTGGACATCAATTTTAATAAGAGCATTCTCAATGAGAACATGCATTTTAATGGCTCTTTTTGGATAAAAAATGTATTCGACAATTAATTTACAAGATTTTGTAAATAAATTATCCTTTGAATTTTTAGTTTATATTATTTTATGCAAGGATCAATATGATGTAAAAATAGATTATTTTATGTAATCTTTTTTTTAATATTTCTTACTCGCTTATTTTTTTTATTCTCTTTCTTTAATATTGAAAAAACTACTTTATCAAATGGTAGTAGGCAAATCGAGATGTGAAAATAATTTTTGTTAATGGTTTAAGATATTTAATTATAAAAAGGGATTCATATCTAACATATATTTTCAATATCTTTTGAGGGCTCATTTTAATTCGTTGTGAAGAACTAATGGGATATATACCGCACATCTAAAAATTCTTAAATGAAAAGTATTAGGCTCATGACTAGAAACTAATTGAATAGGAAAGAATTTCTAATAACTTGTGGACCTAATGCAATTAAGTATTACTGCATGTCAAATTGCATGTCGCCAAACATAAATATAGAGTCTTTTTTTTCATAAATAATGGTCTAGCTATCAATTTGAGATTTTTGATAAATGATTATGCTAAACTATTTTGAGTATGAATATGAGCAATTGATCTGTTCAACTTTTATTCTAATAGAACATGCAATAATCATTAAATACTTGAGAGGTAAATTCACCATTATTATCAAAGCAAATAGTTTGAATGACATTATCTAGAAATTGTGCTCGTAATTGAAGTATTTGAATAAGCAACCTTAAAAACGCCAAGTTTAGAGTTGATAATAAGTATACATGTGAATATCTTATAGATGCATCTATTACAATCATAAAATATCTAAATTATATACATGATGGATGAATTAGTCTACATATATCACATTGAATACGTTCTAAAAATGCTTGGAGATTCAATCTTTCAAGTTTACTTAAAGAACATACGGGACATGAAAATTCATTAGATTGAAAATATTCTAACTCTCCAATGAATGTCCATGTGAATTTTTAATAACTTATGATAGATTTAGGATGGCCTAATCGACCATGCCACAAAAAAAAAAAAAAAAGAATTAATAAACTTCTCATTTAATGTAGTATTTGTTTCAAACATTTGAATATTTATGTAATAAAAGCCAGAAAAAAATAGGTAATTTCTCCGATATTTATTTTCTATTCAATGTAATAGTTGTAATAGATAAGTATGCAATAATTTCAATATTTGTTATCTCGATATGATATCTATTTAGATGAATATTTTTAAAACTCAATAAATTTATATGAAACTTAAGAGAGAATAATGCATCATGAATAATAAAATTTATCCCTTCAAGTAACAATATATTTGTTCTTTTGAAACTTTCAATTAAATTGATACTATCGGATATAATGTTAACATTAACTTTATCAATTATTAAATAGAAGAAATACCTTTTATTTCTATGTATAATATGCATTATTGTGCTATCTACAAGGCATAAATTTTCATCTATGTGTTCAAACCAATTATAGACTTGGTAGTATCTATATATTCTTCAAAAATAAATAAATAAATAAATATTATAAAAAAAATTGTAACTATTACAATGCAATAAAAATTATATATATATATATAAAAAAAGACATCTTATTTATAAATAGAGAAGCTAACAAGCCATTAATTTCAATGATTATTGTTAGTCTAATGATCTTTTCTTTCATAATCTTCAAAAAAACTCAACAACATTTAAATGTGTCAAAATACCAAAACTATCAAGAGAGACATGATCAAAATCATTATTTTGATTTATAAAATTTACTACTCGTATTCCTCTTTCTTTTTTAACGAGGCTTGATAAAACTCAACGATGTGTTTTGATGTACGACAGTGTACGCAATCAATGTCCCTTCGTGCTACATAATAACATTTATTTTTAAAATGTTGACTTGATTTGCGCTTTTTCTTATTCATTTTCATAGTTTATCTACTTCTAGTAGTGATGTGTATTATTATGACCATCACAATTATAACGATAATTATTCCGATCATGACTATAGCTATGGCCACGACCGTGTTCACGTCCATGGTCAAGGCCATATCTTTGTCCATGCCCGGAATTATTATCGAGCATTATATTTGTTTTAAGGAATGAAGTAGAGCCGATTGGACGTAATTTAAGATTTTTCATTAATAGCTCATAATTTTGTTCAGCCACAAGCAAAATTGAATATTTTAATTTTTTTTTTTTGATATTGTTCGTTATATGAGCATATTCAAGATATGAAAAGTAGAGAATGTCTTCTCTAATATTTTCTCCACATAATTTCAATTGGGAACTGATTCTAAATATTGCAAAATTATATTTATTATTTTGAAATCTTATAATCTTAAGTGCATAAATCATAATGAGTTTTTGAAAGAATTACCATCTTTTGGTGGTTATATTTTTTCTCTAAATTTTTTCATGGTTCAAGTGGACTTTTTACTATCGGATATTCGGTTTTCAAATCCTCATAGAGATGATGGCCAAAGAAGATCATTGTCTTAGCACGAATTTGTAATGATTCTTGATTATCATCCATAATTGTTCGTCCAAGACCATTAACATTTAAATGTATCTTAGCATCAACCATCCATGATAAATAATTTTTGTTTGAAATGTTAAGGCGTCACAAAATTAAGTTTTATGAGGTTTGACATGATAAAAATTTTATAATGCAAAATATAATGATGTTAGAAAACATTAGCAAATATAATAATAAAATTCAAGTTTTTCAAATATATATTCTGTGTAATTAGATTTAAATAAATGATAAATTAGATGTATATTTTTTAATACATCACTTTTTCAATTTCAATTTTTATCTTAAATGATAAATTGAATCTCTAATGAAAATATAAATATGAACATTTATATAGATATTTATTATTTTATAACAAGATGCATTCATAGGAAAAGTCCACCATGTATTCTCGAGGAAGTGAAGAAAACCCACCGTAGCGAACGCACTGACATTATAATCGCCAAAAACACGTCCAGAAAAACAAGTTGCTTTCTAAGTTGAAGTTAAAAGAATTTCGTCCACATAGATTTCCATATTGAAAATATGGAATTCAACACCCGCGTTCTAATTTGTAACTGGATTATGCAACGAGAGACGAGTCTCTTACCCCTTAAACTGCTAAATTATACATTTTGTTTTTCCGAACTCAGAATTCGCCTCAATTGCTACGAAATATTGGTACAACTTATTCCTACAAATATTTTGTCCTAAAAAGAAGAAAGAAAGATATCTATAGGTGCATTTTACCCCTGAAAAAAATGAAAAGAAAAGAAAGATTTATTGGCACGTGCATCCGCATCGGATGATACAAATCCACTCTCAAAGTCAGCTGTGAAAACAACAAATTTATTCTATCCCTTGCTAAATCTTCTTCGACCTCTTTGGTCATCTCATTTTTTATCTGGATCACCTATTCATATCTGGAACCAAAGCAACAGTACCTGTAATATTTCTGCCCTGTATTCTTCTCTTCATCAAAAACATTTTCATGGATGCCATTTACCTCAAGGATCAATTGCTTGTTGCGTTGCATGCTTAGGTCCAGAGTTGGTACCTCTGCTGTTCCATCTTTCTTATTTTCAGAAGAATATAAAGCAACTTGGTTAGTCTCACTAGGAATTGAAATGTATTGATCTGGTGATGCCGGTGTTATCTTGTTATGGCTTGTTTCCCTTGAGCCTGCACGCCTGCAAAACAAAGATCAAACAAGGAATGACGTTAAACCAACAATGGCATTACCCTAGAAGAGTAGAAGTAATAATTTATCATTTCCCTTGGATTCGGTACTATGTTCAGGGCAGTAAAATTCAGGCATGAGTACCTGATTTCACAGTTGCTGAAGCTATTCCTGGATTCATGGGAACTCCTCCCTACAAGTTTTCCTTTATCAGACACTTCAGCAGAGACCTCAGCATTTGAACAGACTCCATTGTCTTCTAAATGAGTGGGATCATTTTCTGTATCCTTTTCAAGGTTTGGAGTTTCTTCATTTGTTTTGCTAGAGGAAGACACAGTTAAAGAATTACCATGTTCCCGGACCACAGAAATGGCCTTCTCTAGAGTTTCTAAAGCTCTCCCTACATCAGAACTGATACGTATATTCCTTGTACAGTTTTCAGGACTCTTTAGAGCAATTTTATTGCTTGAAGGTTGATGTATAACTCTGCAATCCCCCATTAATTGTCTGCTATCTTCACTTTCTTCTTCCTCAATCTCAACAGAAGTAGCCAGTGCAATGTTTTGCAAACTTTCACTTCCATGATCATTGCAATTAACTCTCTGTTCCATTCCATCCTTCAAGAGTCTGCTTTCTGGATTATTTTCTTCCTTGATCTCGCTAAAGGATTTGCTGTTCATAACTGGTGCATTATCTGGAAAAGCTTCACTAGCATCATCATCAACATGAATATTCAGTTCCATATCTCCCAACTTTTCATCTTTAAAGTGTCTGCTTTCTTGATTATTTTCTTCCTCGATCTCAACAAAGGATTTGTTTACCACAACTTGTGCATTCTCTGGAAAAGCTTCGCTTGCATCATCATCTCCATGAATTTTCAGTTCAACATCTCCCAAGTTTTCTTGCATATCTTCAGTAGAATGCTTTTGTTGTAGTAGAAGGCAAGCATCAGAGTTAGGCTCTTCTCCTTCCACAGCCTCATATGCGTTTTCAGTAGAATAAAGAGCCTCACGTATTCGAGCATACATTGGATCTTCCAAAGCCTTACTGTAATCTTCATCATAGTTAGACACAGAAGCCACTGCCTGTAATAGTTTGCAGATTGGATGTCAGAGAAATAAGTTGCACAGAAACCACAAAAGTTAGAATGCAAGGATGGTCCTTCATTCTTCATGCATGAACCTTCCGGTATTACTGAGTCTGAAACTTTTATAGATCCTACTATAACAATTAATTTTCATCCCCACATCCACCACCACCACCCCAACCACACCCCCCAACACCCCCCCCCCCCCCCCCCCCCCAAAAAAAAAAAACAGAGAGAGAGACAAAATCGCAAGCCCAACTAGTCCTATCACCTATGGAACCCAAATCCTCTGCCTTCAAAAGTGGTGATAATTATGAATGCTGGCGCCAGTTTTGTTAATACTGCATAGAGCTTTTAAGGAGCCAAATGAATCAGTCTCATTGTTGCATGCAGCGGAGTATAAGGAAACGAAAAGAAACAGAGAAAAATATACAACCTTTTGATAAAGTCTGAAACCATTGCCGATGAGCTGCCTTGAGATAAAGTTTATGAGAGATGGAGGGACAAAATCCAGCTTCAAATCCATATTTGCTATTGTCCTGCAAAATCTAACAGTTTTCAAAAAGTCCACAACAAAGGAGCACATGCAAAGTAAAAGATCAAGCCTCAACTTGTCTAATTATGTAGCAGACAATAGATATGTTGAGAATTTATTTCAGTAGAGCTGTGCACAGGAATGTTTACATTCATGTGAAAATCAATTAGAAGTTTTCGTCTTTTGAACCTTAGGACTTGTGCATATGTGTTGTATATCGAAGAGGATTCACATTATACATCCAACCAACTATAACTCACCGAAAATAACTTCTTTCTGAGGTCACTTTTTGTATAGCAAAGCCACCCATCACATCAATCCTTACAACATCCTTTGCTTCAGGAATACCATCTTTTGAAAGCCCAAGGGTAGTTCTATCAATGCCCTTCAAATCCGAGATCTGAAAGCATTATAATCCAAAAATTTCTCTTCCAATTTAGAATTAGGTATCCAAAAGTGTAGGTAAAAAGAAATTGGAACTGATAAATTGAAGAATCCAAGCACTTCAAGTGAATACCGTGCTTGCAATAACAACAACAAGACCATCTTGGAGGTATTCAAACAAAACATAGTGCAAAACAGCCTCCCTAGCCGTCAGCGGCCATGTAACCTTCACCCTTTCTTCCAAAATTTGAGGAAAAATCAGAAGTTGAAGTTGCACAATTCAAGCAAAAGGAATCAAACAAGTTACTTCAAACAACTGCTACAGTTTGTGCAGGGCAAACCTCAGTAAAGATATCTGTTCTCTGATCCGAATCTTTTGCAAGCATTCACAAACAGTGATTTTAAAAGGTGGGAAGCTATACTGAGGCCACCTGAGAACATGAAATCACCAAATGATCAGTCCAAAGCAAAGCTTGCAATATAAATCTTGATTTCAACCATTGAATTCTTAATCTCTTTCGTCAGTGGTGTACCTTCCCTCAATTACCCAACCAAAAGAATAGGAAGCAAAAAATGGAGAAATAAGGAAAATTACATGAATCTACAAGGACATACAGACACAAGCATCCTTGACATTTCTAGGCAAGGCTGCCAGCAAAGATCGTTGTTCTCCTAAGCCTAAAACTCCTCGTCAATGCATGCATTGCTATACATCCCCATGACCATACATCTAGGCAACGATCTTTACTTGGACGAGGAGACAAATATGACAAGCAAGAACATCTTATTTTATACTCATTAAGCAAAGTATCAAACTTCTATGCATATGTATGTATTGTCTTTAAAGAAGTTGGATCCAGGGCCAAAATGTGAAGACATTAAGCGTAATGACATTTATACAGATCCACCAATCTCCACATTCTTGAAAACATTTTCATAACTATCTAAAAAGTATCAAATGCAACTGATGGAACTTTTGACGATGCAATTATAGAAGTTCACAATCAAAATTAACAGTCTCAACTCTCAAGTGATCTGATTTCCTTAGCAGTACTGGATGCATAATCAGGCTCCAGAAGGAATAACTATAATTAGCAGAGTTAAAATGCAAATTTTTCTGCAATTACAATTTTTTTTCTTAAAAGAAAAGCTAAATGCAGTTTTATTTATCAAGTTAAGACGCTGCAACAATATTATCATTAAAGCTAAACAGAAAAATGAACTGAAGAGAGGCATGTTGTTTTGCCGATACTCTTTCCATAGACATTACATATTACACAATGAAGAGAGGTGCTGAGATAGTAGCAATTCTTACCATTTCCTGTAGAGTGTTGCCTCCCAAGAGATGCATAAACCTGCAAGATATTATTATACTTGTCATAAGGATTTGTGCAGCTTCAGAATGTCCCAAATAATTGCCTGATTTGTGCTCATCCTTAAGAATAAAGCTCAAAATTTACGAACACTTCACTTAAACTTACAGGTATCAACAGTTCCATCAACATAGCCTTCGGCAAGTAATGAATGAAAGGGACTGCCCTGAGGTCCTGGGCGATACATAACACGGAACTCTTCATGATCCTCTTTTATCTTTCAAGAGAAATAGGCTTCAGCATATCATTATTTAGAGACCATTTTTCTAAATAGACACCAACAATAACAATGTGTGTGTGTGTGTGTGTGTGTGCAGGCATACATAATTTTGACTAGGTAAGAACTAAAGAACATAGGAAAGAAGCCTGAGAGAAGCTGAAACATCAAATTTGAACCAAAAAAGAAACAAGGAAATCATCAGATTTTAAAGGACCATACTTTCCATTCATCATGTGATGTCTCACTGGTTCTTGACACCTCACTTTCACTTACAGAAGCACTCCTCAACATGTCAAGAAAAGAGGACACATGGTTTGTCCTATTTTCAATTAATTTGTCGCTGCATCCTGCAAATTCAGAATCCCAAAATTAGGGTGTTTGACAAGCGCAGCTAACCATCACAATTAGTAGCTTATAAAGTATAAGAATCTAACGACATCATCATCCCAGCAGTTTGAAAAGGTGAACAGCAAATCCTGAGAAATACTAGCCTTCGGTTTCATCAAGTGAAGAGCGAACAAGTTGATTCCTGATAAGGGTTTTAAGTGCATCTAGATTTGTCAGTTCAGGGGATGCCAGTGTCTGGTCCAGCCTCTCTCTGTATTGAGAGATCTTTCCGCTCTTCCCCATCTTTGCATCTCCAGGAAAGAAAAAGGAGCCCTCTCTAAAATTTACAATTGCTCACGTACTGTTAAGTGATTTTGTTATCATCTCCTGAATTCAACAAAACAAAAAAATGTTCAAAAATTTGTTATAGACTTGTAGCAATAAAATATACAGGAATAACAAGGTTTCTAAAAATCATTTGCATGAATAAGCATACTATAATGCAAATTTACATATTTTGGTTCCATAAGTACTTAAACCAAAAAGAAATCATAAAACCATTTGTATTTTAAAATGCAATAAATAAATATACCAATCATTGGTATTAATAACTTCTGAATATAATATGCAGATACATTTATTGCAAGAGCATCAAAACAGTTGCCTCAGTAACACAACTTTACTAGAACTTAAAAACACTCCAAATCTCACCATCCAATTCCAAAATTATCCAACACAAATAGACAGCTCTGTGAACCAAGATATTAACATATCTTAGCAAACAAAGCCAACCACCATGAAAGAAATACTAACAAACTCATAAAAACTTGTCGAAAACAGAAAGAAAGAACAAATAAAAAGAGCCCAGATGAAGAAATCGTGAAAACTAACCAAACTTCAAGTGATCACGTGAAAGGTATCTGAGAACAACCTAATTTTCCTTCAAGAACACTGAACATAACCCTGAATTAAAAGAACTGAAAATTCTTTTTCTTTTTGTTGGATTAACAAAAGCACAGAACTCGTAAAAGCAAAGTGCAGATCTCAATATAAAAAATAGAAAACAAGAAGAAGAAGAAGAAGAAGAAGTGAGACAGAAGCACCTGATACGGGAGCACCAAGACGCATAAAGAAAAGAATATGAAACCATGCGTTAGGACTTGACGAAATCAAGACACGCAGCAGAATCACAGAAACCAGAGAGAAAGAAATGGTTTTTTTTAATAAAACAAGAGACGTGGACTTTGGTCCCTTGCTTTTTATGTCCAAGTTTGGACAAAGTTGAGGAGTCAGTGTGGTGGGAGCCACAGGTAGATTTTTCCAGGCAGCCAACGTAAACTGAGAAGTAGTCAATTTGACAAAAGTCGTAATTTTCTCAATCCAGTAAACGAAGTGGTGATGTGTTTTTTTTACTGTAATTGTTTTTTATTTAAAATTAGCATTAGATTAATGTTTTTATTTTAAAAATATTATTTATCTTTTTTATTTATATCTGTTTCAACATATTTGTTTTATCAAACTTTACATATATATTATTAAAGTTCATTTGTTAGTTATTAAAGTTCATTTCAATATCTAACAATTTTATTAAAAAAAATTATTTTAAAAAATGTTGATGATACATAACACTTAATAACTTTTTTTAATATGTATAAAATGTCAAAGAGGACAATCTTTTTTAGATAAATAGAGTAATTTATTTGCTTTTGATTAAAAATATGGTAGTTTTTGCGTAACTATTATTACGAGGCCTATTTTTTTAATAAAAAATATATTTTATATGAAACAAATGCAGCCAATATGTGAAGGTTGACGAGGATGCCGCAAAATATACATAAAATAGAAATAAAAGTTTATCATCTCATTTAAATCAAGAGGTAACTCTAATGAATGCATTAAATGGACGGGAATAGTATATCTTTAAAATTATATAATTAGAAAATTTAGTTTTGATTGACGCATAAGCTAGTGTAATGATATATTTTATAATAAAAAAAAATCTCACTTGATGATGCAGAGGATTTCGACATTTAGATTTATTATACTTGTTCTTCAACTTCATTAAGGGAGTTAGAGAAATGATGGTAGTGTCCTTTAAAGCTTTACAAGCGGGGAGCACAATCATTGGTTTTAGTGGTGTCGGATAATATCCAAGTATAGACACTCGATGATTAAATCAATATTTTTGAGATATAATGTACGGATATGATATATTAAAGAGATATAGATGATTTTCTCTAAAATTATGTATGTGTTAAAGTTATTAGACATTTGTTTTTAATGGAGTAAGTCCTTTTATATAGCAAAAATATAGAGTATATGTAACGCTCAAGGCCCAACAAGGAGGCAAAAGTGCTACTGCATTGTCTCACACTAAAAAATTCAAAGCAATACACTCGTATCATCTATGTCTATGACAATGCACAATAACATTTACTTACTTGGTTCAAAGTTCAAGGCTTCCTAAACTTTAACATTTATAGCTAACATTTTTGTTTTTTGGTAACCCATTGCATAATTTAAACCATTTATAAATATCCCGCATCATTTCATTTCCATTGTCATATCAAAATCAACATGTGCATAGATCAAAGCTAAATCCATTTAATAAACATCAATGCATCCATAATTAAATTGACTTAGCATCATATCTAAAATTTATGTAAATATTCCAAAATAACTAAAAGATCAACTTATACAACTCAAAATGGTCAAATCTAGGTAATTATCAAAAGTAGCTAAAACCTAGAAGGGTTTAGCCTTCAAACTTTAAACCTAGACCTATAGCACATAATTTGGCAAATTCCGTAGCTCACGGCCAATATCCTCAATGCATCTAACTAATCCTCAAACATTGCTTTGCTCACCTATACCACAAAATAAAACAGTGAGTTAAAACTCAATAGATGTAACTATGCATGAATATAATTAAAACTATTATTTGTCATGCTTGAAATTCTTTTTGATCTTTCAAATGCATCTTGCTAAATATATATAATTTTAGTCCTATTTAGCCATAAAAGCTTTAGACATGTTCGATTTAATGAACCTTACAAGATTTGATCATTTTCATTTGTCTTTTGAACATGTCTAGCCATGTCACTCTCCTTATAAAACCATGTCCTTTTATATGCTTTGCAAAGAGCATACACAACATCATTTTCTTTGTAAGCCTATCTTGAAAACATGTACATCTCATTTTTTGAATGCTTGAAATCATGACATAAAATATTTTATGATGTGATTACAATTACAATGCAATATCAAACATATACATGAACATAAATTTTATGGTATTGAGCCATTTATGAATACATTGCACATGTCATGGTAAGACCAAATATTATCAAGTCTAAACCAACCATGAACACAATCCAATTGATCTCAATCAATCCTCAAATCTGAATTTCATCAAGTCATAACAATATCAAGAAATTCCATGGATATAAACTCGAATTCCTCACATGACATAAACATGCAATCATCTATTATACCTATCCGGACCGAATCATCTCTCATCAATACAACTCTCTAATTATTCAACTAACAAACCCAAGCAATCATAAGCAACTAGTCCATCCAATAAGTCGAATACACTAAACAACAACAACACAATCAATTATCATCAATACAATTCATAATCTTATGATAAGTCCAATAAGTACAAGCCAAAGCCAAAGCTATCAAGATTCCTTAACTTTGAATTTACAAGCTTAAAATCGAATCACAATAACATACTTAAAGTGTTCATTTTATATAAAGGCATAAAAACATTCAATTAACCAAGCATAGCCGAATCCATTATGCAAGCCAAGTCATTGCACATCAACACAACTAACCAATCTTAATTCACACATACCAATCACAATAGCCATAAGTAATTCATCAATTAAATTTATTCCAACAACTAGTCATTTAGCTCAAAACTAAGAATTTTCAAGTCTAGCATGAACACCACATTTCTTATATGAAATCCACAATTAAATACATACCCATCATTAATACAATTGCCAATCACCAATTCGTTGTTTACCCAATCACATCTTAATGTAAAGTCTTTATTTAATAACCAACTAAACTCTAAAATTTCTAGATCTACATAAACACATTATCTAATACATTCAATCATCAATTAAATACATGTCGAACATCGTAAAAATTAATCTTTCATCAATTTCATAATTCAAGCATCAATCACACAAAATTCAATCAAATACCTAATTTAAAATCTTAGGTTTCATAGGCACATAAATCTCTAAATCAATACATAATTACTCTAATTCTTGTGGTGAGTTGAATTTAAACTTATCTTAGGTTTGATTGAAGTGAAAATCACCTTAAAAATCCTTAAATCCATACCTCTCTCCCTTGCCCAAGCTCTCGATCAAATTTAGAAAGATTTAGCTCTTAGCCAATTCTCTTTTTCTTAGATAAACTCTCTTCTTTTCAGCCAAGTTGTCTTCTCTTGGGTAATTTTAGCTTCCTCCTTTGCTTTTTCTCTTATTAATCTAGGTTTCCCTCAAGTGTTTAAGTCTCTCTTGCTCTCTTTCTCTCTTAGTGTTCAATCTCTCAAAGATGGATGGAGGCAAGTAAAATATCAGATGAAAACTTTGTTGAAAATTTTTCCTTTTTATTTCCCTCTCTTAGCTAAAAGTTTTAGTCCAAAATACCCTTAATAAGCTACATGTCCTAAAGTGATTATTTTACACTTAGACTTTTTAATTTAGGTGAAACATCTAATTCGGATATTATTTCTTAGATTAATACATGTTTAGGTCACTAATTAAATTTTAATCTTAAGTTATACATGTATGAGAATCATTTAATTAAACTATATTTTATAAGTCTTTCACTTATCAATTAATTCACTATTCATACATAACACTTAGCAAATATTAATTTTACAAATAAGATATTTATCATCAATAACACAAGCTTGACATGAACATACTTAACAAAATAAATATGCACATAAAGCATAAAAATTAAATATGTGTATTACATCCTTCTCTCCTTATAAAAATTCTATCCTTGGAATTTACCTTCTTTAACTTTCTCACATTGTGAGTCTTCTTTAACTTCTCCTTGTATCATCATATACACCCTCCTTAGTACTTTTAGTATTGGATTTCCTTAAGGACAATCCCTTGCCAAATACCTAATCTTGTTACAAGAGTAGCAAATATTAGTACCATGTAAATAATTTCGACATGTTTTCGACCATACTTGAAGCAAGTCGGCTTGTCTTGTGCTTCTACCCTTGGTTGCCCTTCAAAAATCTTTTCCTTCTTAGCACCATTTGG